TAAATAAATAAATAAATAAATAAATAAATAAATACATACATACTGCAGCATTCTCTTATCTACTCATGAATGAAAGTGAGTAGAGAGGGGCACATGTCACAGAGTCTGACTCTGACATGCAGAAAAACAGCCAGGTTCCTTCAACCTCGAATGCAGATGGAACAAGCAATTTATCTGAAAACCAGAAGAATGTAGTTGTGCATGATGAGGTAGAGTTAGATGGGGAAAAAATAGTGGTAGATGATGAAGCTTTGTTCAAAATACCAAGTGCTAAGAGAAAAACAAGATGGTCAAAACAGTTAAAGCAAAAAAAAAAATGCAGGTAAAAGAAAAGGCTTTACAAGAAAGTGAATCGGATGTTTTTTCAGACTTCGACAGCGACAGAGAAACTTCTGATTCCTCAATTCCTGATGGTCAGATAACTCATAGGGACGGCATTGAACAGATCCAAAGTGTTTTGGAAGTTACCAAAGGYAAAAGAGGTGTGAGAGATGATTTCTTTCCCAACCGGAAGGTGTTTATTGAATCAGTTAAGTGGTTGATGAGACAAAAAAGTCCAGAAGGTTTTAAAGACATAATTTTATCTCCAACAAATGATGTATTAAAAAAAGCAGTAGACTTCAGAATTGCTTCAACGATTTTGATTGTTTTGATGTTTATGAGTAGTCCAAAAATGTCTTCTTTAAATATGAATGGTGCAAGAGATGTAAAGAAAAGAGCTACCTTTTTTGAACTTTTAAAAACTAAAAGCATTAATATTACTTTTGCTCAGGAAACTCATAGTAGCTATTGAAATTGACTGGAAGAAAGAATGGGATGGGATTATGAGTCACAAAAATGTGCTGAGTGCAGGAGTGGCAATTCTTTTTGCAAAACATTTTCTTCCAGAATCTTTTGAAGTAGAAGAAATTGTTTCAGGGAGGTTGCTGAAAGTTTCATCAGTTTATGCTTAAGGAGATTTTGGAAACAAAAATTCCAAAGTAAAAAAAAAGGTCAAAGGCTAAATGAAATTCCTATAAAACGTAAGTAATTGTCTACATTTCATGTGTATGATTTCTTACAGGTGGTGATTCGGAGGCTCCCACCTAACCTGTCCAAGGACCAGCTAGAAGAACAATTGAGTCCACTTCCCTGTTATGATTACTTTGAGTTCTTTCCAGCAGATCAAAGGTATAATCTGTTTTATGGCTTTATGTGACAAAATTCTTCACGTTTGACAGTTTTGTAACTGTTTCTATTTGTCTTCACAGTCTCTATCCCCACCTGTTCTCCAGAGCGTATATCAATTTCAAAAACACAGAGGACATCCTGCTGTTCCGGGACAGATTTGATGGCTATGTCTTCATTGATAACAAGGGTATTAAAAAAAAGGCCAACTCAGTTTGATTTTTGTTGACAATGATGGCTTGTACATAGACACTCATTACAAGTAAATGAAATACAAACAAGACATGTTTGTTTTGTATCTACAGGTTGAATTTTATTGACCAAGAGGTGGCTTTAGAGCTTTTTGTTGCTATTGTTACTATTTAATAACAGGTTTGTTAGTTAGAGGTCTTTTTATTTCAATATTTACTCAGGCCAAGAGTATCCTGCTGTGGTAGAGTTTGCTCCCTTTCAGAAAATTTCAAAGAAGAAGCTGAAGAAGAAAGATGCTAAAGTTGGAAGCATTGAAGAAGGTACTAAAGTAAAAAAAAACAAGGATACTGAGAATAAATAACTCAGCTTTTTTTGAAACTTAGATTTATACCTGTTTTTTTTTATTTGTTTGTTTGTCTGTAAAACTCAATCAGACCCAGAATACAAGCGTTTCTTGGAGAATTACTCCTGCGATGAAGAAAAGTCTATGGCCAACCCGGAAACATTGCTGGGGGAGATTGAGGCCAAGACCAAAGAGCTCATAGGTACAGAAACTTTTTACAGCCTTTAAGTTAAAGTGACTTCAACCAAATACCAAGATTTTTGGTTCCTTCTTTTTKTTAGCCAAACGGACGACACCACTGCTGGAATACATCAAGAATAAGAAAATTGAAAAACAGGTCAGAAATCAACTTTTTTGTGCGAAAGTATTGACCTTCAAAGCATTTTAAAAGCTAAGATATCCTATTTATTGTACCTAACATTTAACAGAGGATAAGAGAAGAGAAGAGAGAGGAGAGGAGAAGGAGAGAGCTTGAAAAGAAAAGACAACGCGAGGAGGAGAAACGAAAGCGTCGGGAGGAGGAAAGACGCAAACGAAAGGAAGCCGAGAAGCAGAAGAAGCTGTCCGATAAAGACATTAAAATTAAGGTAAAACATGATGAAGTTGTTCAGTAACAACATGTGTATTCTTTAATTTGAATGGTGCAACTGGATATGTCTTCTGTCTTGTTTTCCTGTTTAGCTTCTGAAGAAAAGTGACAAAGATGATGACGGTAATTCAGACCAGATGAAGGACAAAAGTGATKCAGGGGAACCAGACAGGACCAAATGGGAAAAAGCTGGAGGACAAATGAAGTCAAAAGAACCCAAAGAGAAGTAAGAACTGCTATATTTTTTAAATCTATTACCTCGGTAAGATTAACTTAAAAMATGACATTACAAATTATTAGCTGAAGAAAAGTTTAAGATTTTCAAACAAGCTGCATCGTTAAAGGGCCAATATTATGTGTTTCTCAGGCATACATTTAAATACTATACCATAATAAAGTATCTAGGTCACCTTTAGTTGTTATTAAAATGCTGTTTTTATGTTTAAATAGAAAATAAACTTATCTTCTCACCACTTCCTCTTCTAAACGCCTTGAAATTGGCCTCTGTCTCTTTGAGAACCTCCATCGCTTCTGTCTCTGCCATTTCGGTGCGGGGGGGGTCGCAGTGGGG